CAGCACAGGCTGTCAGTAAATCCACTATTCTGGGGTCTAGCGGATGGTGGCCCTCTTTTCACAGTTCCATTAGGCAGTGCTCCAATGGGGAGTCTGTGTTGGGACTCCAACCCCACATTTCCCTTCTGCACTGCCCTAGCCAAGGTTCTCCTTGAGGCTCCACCCCTGCAACAAACTTCTCTATGGACATCCAGGCATTTCCATACATCCTCTGAAATCTAGGCAGAGGTTCTCAAACTTCAGTTCTTGGCTTCTGTGCACCCGCAGACTCAGCACCATGTGGAAGCTGCCAAGGCTTGGGGCTTGCACCTTCTGAAGCCATGGTGCAAGCTGTACCTTAGCCCCTTTTATCCATGGCTGGGATGCAGGGCATCAAGTCCTGAGACTGCACAAAGCAGCAAGGCCCTAGGCCTGGTCCCTGAAACCATTTATTCCTCCTGGGCCTCTGGGCCTGTGATGGGAGGGCCTTCCATGAAGACCTCTGAAATCCCCTGGAGTCATTGCTTTGATTAACATTTCACTCCTTATTACTTATGCAAATTTCTGCAGCTGGCTTGAATATTTTCCTCAGAACATATGTTTTTCTTTTCTATCACATCATCAGGCTGCAAATTTGCCAAACTTTTACTCTCTAATTCCTCTTGAATGCTTTGCCACTTAGAATTTTTTCTGCCTTATACGCCAAATCATCTCTGTCAGGTTCAAAGTTTCACAGATCCCTAGGACGGGGCAAAAAGCCACCAGTCTCTTTACTAAAGCACAGCAAGAGTCATCTTTGCTCCATTTTCCAACAAGTTCCTCAACTCCATCAGAGATCCCCTCAGCCTGGACTTCACTGGTCATGTTACTATTGCATTTTGTTCAAAGCCATTCAACAAGTCTCTGGGAAGTTCTAAACTTTCCCACATATTTTTGTCTTCTGAGCCCTCCAAATCTCTAAGAAGTTTTAAATTTTCTCACCATTTTCCTGTCTTCTTTTGAGCCTTCCAAACTGTTCCAACCTCTGCCTGTTATCCAGTTCCAAAGTCATTTCCACAGTTTTGGGTATCCTTATAGCAGCACCCCACTCCTGTTACCAATTTACTGTGTTAGTTGGTTCTCACAGTGCTATAAAGAACTGCCCGAGACTGAGTAATTTGTAAATGAAAGAGATTTAATTGACTCACATTCTACATGGCTGGGGAGGACTCATGTAACTTATAATCATAGCAGAAGGGGAAGCAAACATGTCCTTCTTCACATGGGGAAGGGAAGGAGAAGTGCTGAGCAAAGAGGGAAAAGCCCCTTTAAAACCATCAGCTCTTGTGAGAACTCACTCACTTTCTTGTGAGTCTCTTCCATGACACATAGAGATTATGGGAACTACAATTCAAGATGAGATTTGGGTGGGGACACAGTCAAACCATATAATCTAGGCCAGTATCAAAATCCTGGGCTCAAGTAATCCACCCACCTTAGCCTACCAAAGAGCTGGGATTACAAGCATGAGCCACTGTATCCAGATGGTCTTTTGATTTCTTTTGATTTTGATCATCCATTGGTTCTGCTTCTCTAGAGAACCCTGACGAGTAGATAATTGGCATGAAGCGATATCTCATTGTTGTTTTGATATATCATTTGTGTTTATATTTCTTTGATGGGCGACTTAGGTTTTTTTTTGTACTTTTGGGCTATTATTATTATTACTAGTGTTTATACTTCTTTAGTAAAAATATTGGAAACAATTTTTAAAGGCAGAATGTAACAGTTTCCTATAGGTACGTAACCATCTTGGGCCTTCCCTCAAGTGTTTAGCCATTCGTGCTACTCATGTCACTCCAAATGTCAGCTTGTTTTCTTCCATTTTGCTGTCTCTTTGTGTCCCAAATCTGAATTCATGGGAAAAAAATCTGAATGGTGCTTGATATGGTTTGGATATTTGTCCCCTCCAAATCTCATGTTG